CCTTACAGTTAATCTGCAGAAATCTATGCTTGAGTTCATATGCAAGTTTGTGAAGAGAAGGGTCCTGCATTTCTAGAAAGCAGCAGTGTTTCACATTGTACTGTATTTGTGTACAATTGCTATGCAATTTTTCATCAAATAGTCACACATTGAATTTAGTAAAATGAAACCATTTGTTGTACTTATGTAGCTCTTTTTCTAATGTCAACTGCTAGTAGAGCTAAACAACCATCTTCTCTCAAAACTTCCAGCTTGTTTTGGATTTAGCCAAATACCTAGCAACAACTTAAATGTTTATACACAGCATGGCACAAGGAATTGAAAGAACCTGGTAAAAACAATGTATTTACCAGTGAACATATTCAGCTGATTTTAAGGTTCATTTCATTTCCACGAGGGATACAAGCACTTGTGAACAGAAGTGATAAACTACATGACAAATTTTGTGAATTCTCTGGTGAAAAAATGAGTATATTTGTGTGCTGCATAGGAGGAGAAAAAAGTAATATATTAGAGAAAGCTTGCATAATGAGCCGTGATGCACTAAGTTCCTTCCCACAAAACGGCCTTTACGAAATGTGTTACGTAAAATAATCCTCCAACCCTGTCCTTTGTTTTCTAACATTTTTCCAAGTTTTTTTTAAATTTTACCCCTGCAGAACAACAACAACAAAAAAAGCATGTATTCTTCCAGAGACCTACATTTGCAAAAATGAAAAACCACTGTCTTCAAGCACCCAGCTGTGTAGATCGCTGACCTCTTCTCTTTCAAGCCAAACAAAAAATTTCTATTAACCAATACGATTGTCTCATGGCAGCGTATTGGTAAAGTATCCTCTGTTTTTACTGTTCTGAAACAATTATGTTATTTTTTCTAAGGCTTTTCATTAAGAGCAAGACTTTCCTCAGAATCATCCACCTCAGGAGCTCAGAGGTGACCTGAGCCACCTTCCCACTCTCTCTTTTCCATGGGCAATACTACCCTGAGTAGGTTTTTGTACAGACTATAATGACCATTGGGCTACTTCAGTTTCCTTCATTAAAATAGCAAGGTGTTTGGACACAACAATGTCATCAAGTGGTAGAGATATATGAATTTTCTTTAGCAAGACTGCAATTTTGATTTGCTAGCAATGGCCTGTATGTATCCTTGCCTGTATCTAACACTGACAAATTAAAATACCTCACACCCCTAAAAAATTCTGTTGTAAACTTTCATCCTCAGACTGACAGCAAGCTTTTAGTAACTCAGTTTGTACTATAGATGAGAAGGAGTTTTCATCAGCCAGAAATTCCTTCCAAACTATGGATTAACATTATCCATTACGAATTACCTAATTATTATTATTTTTTTAATTGTGTGGAAAAAGAAACAAGGATTTTTTTTTACTAAATCCCTCAGAAGAGACCTAAATGCTCATTGTCTAACTGAGATCACAGATTCAGACTGTTGTCCCATTGTCCAGCATGGGTGCATGCAATAGTCTGGCCTCATAAAACAGACACTTAACCAAACAGAACCAATTAGCCCTCCGTCGTTGCCCCTGTTCACAATAGAAAAAACAGCTGATGTTCTCTTAACTTGAAACAATGGGAGGATATGCATGGGCTCTGCAAGTCCTACAAGCAAGTAACTCTTTCCAGAGGAGGACCGTGAGAAAGTAAAGCCCATAAATGCCCTTTCAGTGGATGAACTCCTGAACAGGCTTTTATAATGTGAACTCATCAGTCAGCTGTCTGCAGATGCACTTTTCTTTAGAAAATCTTAGTACAAATGCAGCACACCACTTTTTGGTGATAAACCATTCTGCTGAATAATATTCTGTCTCAGAATTGTATTCATCCCAGTATTGATTTATTCAGCAGCATCTTTTCCCCACAAAGCTCTTTTACATTCCTTACCATGCTTGCACTTCTTCCTAATGATCTCAGAATAGCAATGACCACTGATGGGAGCATGGCAAGAACTGAATGTTGTTTCTAACAAAAGCAGTAAGGCTTCATTTAAGATTAAGATGCCAAGAAAATTCAAGTGAAGAAGCTGATGAGCTCAGAAATTCAGCCTTCCCATATGAATCCAGTAATTTACTTTCTTTTGACTGTTTTCTGCTCCATCTACTTGGGATATTGCCATCACATATAACTGCTGGATATCCAGCTAGAGCTCCTGCTAGCGACGAGGCCGTGTCTCCTCCTTCAAAACTAGTGTACAGCATTGTCTCACTTCCAACCCACAAAGTTTTCCAAGCACCTTCAGGCAGGAGTTCATTGCTTGCAAGCATGAAAACACTTTGAAGAAAGAGATCTTCATTAACGGCAAAGCACAGATATCATTAACTTCAGGGAAACAATTCAGAATAAATAAAGTCATCTATTTCACTCGGTTCCTTTGGCAACTGTCCCTTGATTCTGTTGCCAATTGATGCTGTGAATTTCCTGTAGGCACGCATTCCTTATGAGAATCATTTTCCCTTCCCTATCTTCTGAATTTCCCTATAGTTTTGCAGTAGCATGTAGCTAACTCATGAGTCCACAGGTAGAAGTATATTGTTTAGATTGTTTAGTTTAGTAGCATAGAAATTAGGTTTGCAATGGGAGTTAAATGAAAGCCGGGAGTCAGCATTCTTGAATTCTTTAACCATGGACATCTCTCTTTTGATATCTTGAGATGGTCAAAGGTCTTTTTTATTTAGAACTTCTCATTGTTATTTCTCATATATAAGTGTGTTTTACTTGGATCCAGGTCTTTACAAAAGCAAATAAACATGTGCTAAACTTCCATTCATTTTTCTTATGAGATCAAAGATGAAAACCTATCCAGATGTAAACAGCTAAGCCTCTAATGAGATGATCAGTGAATAGTTTTTTGTACTGTAAGTACTTAAAATACTGCACTGAGGGCACTCTGCACTTCTGACTTGTATAGCAGGAGCCAAGCACCTAACACAAGCCAGACAAATAATTTTAGCAATTAGCTTGCAACATCAATCTCTAGTCTCTGACCTTTCTTATTCATCAGAGGCAAGCCAGATGCTCTGTTGAACAATATTAATCGTGCCTGGCACTTCTCTAGAGCCAAAGACATCACACATTGTTTTCTATTAGCAAGAGACTTTTTGCAAGAAGCAAATTCATACATATTTTCTTTTCAACAGGTTGACTCAGCCATAATAGAGATGGAAAAGTCTAGCCTGCTTCTCTGCATCATGGACATGGACATGGAAGTGGAGTCTCTACAGCAGTAACATCTTCATGGTGCTATGTTGTGCTGCTCTTCACCTTCCTGGGCTTAGCAGGTCCCTGCCTCAAGGATCTATCCACTGCACTACACTACATCCTGCACCTATTGAGCCCTGCAGACAGCCTATCCAGCCATGCACATGTAACTGGTTGAGTTAGGATTTTTTTGTACCGCTAGCGAGAGAGATAAATGTCTGTGGAGGCATAATTTGGCCGTGCTGAGCTGCTTTCTGGTAGGTCTAGTTTGTACCAAGAGAGATGGGATCTGAGGCTTGTAGATGCTCCCCTTGGGATTAGCCAAGAGCCACAACAAGGCAGGATGAACATGGCACAGAAAGTACGTATCAAAAGACAGAATGTTGCAGCTTTCCTGTTAAATGGAATTCTGCACTTACCGTCTAATTTTAAGAGTTGAAACACAGTGCACCATATTCCGTCTGCACTTAAACTGTTGTCAAGTCACTGTAACTCCAGGGAACTCCATAGAGCTTCTTCTCTAATACAGTTAAGTAAAAATTCTTCAGACCATCTCAAAAACTGTTGGTTTTTCCCCCCATGAACTTCTGTCCTTAGACAAAAGATATCAAGATTAAGTAATTACTGTAGTATAAATTTAACTGCAGCTGACTGCCCCCTACCAACCTGTGTCTCAGTTCTGCAAAAAGTAATTTCAGAATGTGAAGCAGAAAACTCCTTTCACAATAAAGATGCTGTCAGTATTATCATTTGTGCTGATCTCTGCTGACATATTAAAGTCAGCAACAGTATAAACTGAGAAGCACTTTCTTTGGCTTTGTGAATTTCACATTTTCCTAAATTTATAAGAATATCGGCAGCTCAGCTAATTTCACAGTCAAATACCTGCTTAGAAATAGTCTGTGTTGAGACACATGCTAGTCAAAATTGTAGTATGAGCTTTCCCGTTTCTTTCAGCTTTGCCAACAACAGATGTATTGGAAATTCCTCAAGGGAAAACATCCCTCCTGGAGCTCTGTGTTGTATGCATACCTTTGCACACAACCGAGTCTAAGCTTCCACTTTCTTCCTGTTTTACTTCATATTGCTCTCTTCAAAGCAACTCCAAGGTAATAACATTGAGAAAACCTTGTTATGGTTCCAGTACATAACCAGAGATACTCTACCTAATACTCTGCCTGCTTCCCAGTCAAATTTTCAGTCATTTCTTTGGTTTTCTTTCACTGACTTTTCCTTCTAATTTTTATTTATTTATTTATTTTAAATCAGGGAAAACATTAAAAAAGAAGAGTTTAGGAAATCCAGTATGTGTTAGGAAAGTTAAGTTAGAGCACTTAATTATGTAACTAGAGCTGCAGTTGAAACTGAAAGTTGTAACAGCTAAGATACGCATCACGGATAAGAGCTTCGTATGGGCAAAACAATTCAATCCCCTATTGTTTGCAGCTCCCCATGGCAGGCTGGCAGCGCTGTAAAGGCCCATTCAGTGGTCAGCAGTGTTAAGCCTTGCTCTGCCAGTGGCATCCCATATGGGATCCATCATGAGAAGTGCTGTTTGGGGAGGGGGAGGACCAGGGCTGGGGGTTACTTAGGCAACGGTCATGTCACATCATAAATGGCAAACTGTTTTAGAGAAATGATTTGGTGTGAGATCAAGCTCTGAGCAAGGATAACAGAATATTGATTTTTCTTAATAGAAAAAAAGGCAGTGACAAAAAAGTTGAAATAAATAGGAGCAGTTTTACTATAGCGTACGCTCTCCCTCCCCATTTTAGGAGACCTACCACATTTGTGATTTACAGCTGAAGCTTCCACAGCAAAGTCGGAGACACGAGCATCCATCAGTTTTAGTGAAAGTGCATCCAAGCTCCTGAAAAGATTCTAAACAAATTTCATCCCAGAACTCGTAACTAAAATAGACAAAGGAGCAGCATTAGTAAATGTGCCATACCATAGATGACAAAGTAGGGAAAATATACAGCAAGCATCACATATCTCTTTAATGTCTGTGTAATACAAGGCTCTGAGGAGGATGCACACAATGCCACCTGTTTACAAGGAGCATGTTACCAGGCTGGTGAAAGGCAGGTATGTTCACTCAGTGACTCTGCTGTGTCTCAGTTTGAAAAATAGAAATTGATTGGTGTTGACCAGGAACAAGGTGACAGTGATCTGTGAGTCTTGCAGGAGCTAGGGACTGGAAGCGAAAAGATCATCTTTTCATCTTTTTAATAGGAAACGGGGCATGGAAAGAAGACACACACTATGGGGAAGGGTTACCTACTTGATCAAACCAGTATTTACTGCGTTCAGCAAACTCTAGGAACAAAGAATGTGAGGCTTCAGATCTGCTGCTACATTTTCCATGACACCAAATGGACTTAATTTCAGGTGTCACAGAAAAGCAGGTATTTCCAGGCCTACAAGCTATTAAGTGGGACTTGTTTGTTTGTTTGTTCGTTTGCTTAAGCTCACATTTAGCAGTGGTTTTGCAATGCAATACTGCATTTATGGCCTCAAATCTGTCTGGATGGCAGCATCCTTCAGCATGCTGCTTACTCACCATAACGTGGAACATCTGCCATGAGTTCTGCATACATTTCATTTTCTTCTTTAGCTTAACCCCCCCAGGCTATTATTTCCTTCTGGCCCTGGTGAATCACAGGGTATAAGAACATAATCTGGTTTTGCTTTCTCTATCAGATGTCTTAGTGCCCTTTCTTTACTAACAGGCAATTAAAGAGCACAAACCTCAAAGTTACATGGCATTTGCTTGGAAAAACAGTTTGCTCTTATCATAATTACAAAGAACAAGTGCTTTTTGAAGACAATGAAGCTTCAGAAAAGATTCTGAGATTCAGGAAAGGCTTTAAGATACTGACAATTTCCATTCCACTTTAAAACAAAGCCATTTTTCTCAGTTTGCAATTATGAGACATAAATATAAACTTAATTGCCTAGCTGCAGAAGACATGGGTTTCTGATTGCATAATTCACAACAATTTACAGGAGCAAGCAGTCCAGACACAACCGCAGCATGGGATCTCCAACATCTCAGAGCAGTTGCCTGATACTTTCAGAAGAAGAGAAGCAGATGAAACATGCCAACAGAAGAGAGATCACGTCCACATGAGTGGTCTGCAGGATGTGGGTGCCCACAGAAGCATCCTGGAGCCCCACCAGTCATGAGGCTTATCAGTGTAACTGGGTTGGATGAACTTGCTTGCGTCTGTTCAGGCCGCTGTAAGCTCTCGTGCAGCCATGAACTGCCTTCCAGCTGGAAACCACAAATGGACAGCTGAGAGGTCAGGAGAAACCCTCTGCAGTAACAAAGTGCTTCTCCATAGTAGTGTAGTTAGACTGAACCCACCCTCTGCAGTGAATGCTTACAAAGCAGCACCAAAATATTTTTGGAATTTCCTTCTTTCTCCTTGGAATTTTCCAGGAGGAAATTCTAGTATTTATTACGTAGTTTAGCTAAAATCATTCACTTCCCATTTTTAAGAGATATTTTTGTCTTTATAATAAAAATAGGTTTAACATCTTTTTCATGAACTCAGTTTTCTATGATGGGACCTTCCAGAGCTCCCACCTTGCCCAAGAGTATGGGTATCTTGGCTTTGAATTGCATTTTCCAGCTCTTTTCATGTCATTTACTTTATCCCAGGGCGATGATTTCTCCAGATTCCTTTCATACCAGGGCTTCTCTGATGTGAAAGTCTTTTTTTTTTTTTTCCTTATGGCAGTTTTCCTATTGATAGGATTGGTCTTAACTAGCACAGCTAGTATAGAAATTGCCAGTTCTGAAAAAAAATGGGAGTAGGGAAAAAGAAGTCAGATCGCTGCATGCCAAGGAGGAGCTTTTTGGAAGTTCAGATCTCTGATTTGTAGTTTGAGCATGTTCCTAATTTATGAAAGCCATTCATTCTAGAAATAACCTCTACTTAAAACCAAACTCCTCAATCCAACACTGATTGCTGACTTTCTGCTGACAATAATAGCAGCCTTTATGAAATCATAGTTTTTATTACTGATGATGTCAAAATTAAAATGAAAACCTTATCCTGCAATAGGGAACAGTTTTACACATTTTTAAATGGTTTTATACCATGTTGGGACAAGGATTTTAAGCAAATTACTAACAATTACAAAAAACATCAGATAAAGATGTTACACTAATTTCAGATCATAATGAACCACCTTCAGTTGGTTAAGAATCAAGGATTAGCTACTTCCCTCCAATGGAATAAGCAGAAAAACAGGTACCTCTAGAGTGCTCCCCATATGAAGGGAACATTTGCACAGGAGAGAAATATTTTACTTTCCATTCGCTAGAGAAAGGTGAAATAAGCAGCTTAGGCTAAGTGCCCAAGATAATGTTAGCTGAGCTGAATCCTGCCCTGGTTCTGTGACATTTTTTTAAATAACAAATTCTACTGAAATTATCAGTGGAAGTGTCAGCCCTTAATAGGGATATAAGGCAGAGGACCGAAGACAGCTACCTTTGACACAGTGTAAAATGAAGTTTGTGGCTATTGGCAGCGTGCTTATGATCATGTAAATAAAAAGAATCCACTTAATCACGTTCTTATATATGTATATGTGTATATGCAAACATGATCCATGACACAGAGCCAATGTACAAAATTCAAACGCCTTGCAAAACCTCATGCTTCTTGCTCAGCTACAGTTTATTCAGCACTGCAGAGGAATATGGCTTCTATTACAAATCAAACATTTATTGAAGGGCAGTGCTTTGCTCCAGATTGTTTACATGAATGCTGTAGATATTCTATCCATACTCCTCATCTATCTCCCATGTCTTTTCAGATTGAGAAGCAAGTGATGTACAAAAGCCACGTGAGGGCGGTGTGAAGATGCTCACCTGCCCCAGCACCCAGCCCAGGGACAAGTGGGGTGCGAGCTGTGTTCCTGCTGGGATGTGCTGCTGGGCAGCACGAGCCCCTGCACTGGCCTCACAAAGGCATTCCTGCTGCTCTGCCAGCCAGCTGTGGGCACAGGGCCCAGGCTGTGATTTGTGGAGAGGAGATTTTGCTTTGACAGCTCGATGTCACTTTGTTTTTACATTGTTTTTACATAATCAGTGCTTTTTGTTACAATCTGCTGGCTTCAGATAACAGTGGTGAAGAACATTTCCAAGTGGAAGTGGCACCCTGGGTGAGGACCAAGACAGAATACACTCAAAGAAACCAAATATTTCTTGTTTCTTGTAATCACCTGCAATAAAGCGCTGCAAGTGTTTGCTGATAGCTTGCTCTGCAGGCAGGATGGAGTGACAGAGCTTGGGGAGAGGGGTTCTGTTGTACTTTAAACAAGCCTCTGGTTATGTCCTTCAAAGACAGATCTGCTGACAACAGAAAGTGAGATAAATATCCACAGCCTAAAGGGGTGTGTACACAGTCCTGTACCAGGCTTTGTTCAGAGAAACTCTCCATCTGACTGAACAGCAGGAGCAGGATCTCAGAGTTGGGAAAACAACCGAGCTGCTTCTCATAAGCCACTGGCTGGATTTCTACAGGGAGTCTGATAGAGAGCTACAAGCAGTGCTACATTTTTTTGGCCAAATTCAAGAGTTAAGATGACAGCAAGCAACACAAAGTAAGCCCAGGCATTTAAGACTCATTCGTGAAACTCGTCTGGTGGCTGATCCCACAGCATGTCCCCAGTCACACTCACTGCATAAGCTTTGCCGCACACACCTGGAGGCCACCATGAATACAGCAGCATCACTGCCATGATACCGCTAGTGGCACCGCCTCCACAGAAGGGACGTAATTAGCAGAGAAATGGCTCTTGGTGCAATTGGAAAGTAGACAGATACTCTTTTGGATTTCAGTTCATTGCCTTGTTGTTGTCAAACCAGTGCCTGATGTTCCCAGACCCCACTCTGTGACTATTCCTTTCTTTCTTTCTTCTCTTTTTCCTCCTTTTTGCAGGGACTATGGCTTATTCTGATTCACTTTATTTCTATCTCCTGAAGTGGCCATAAGGCAGACTCCCTGTTGCCAGGGATATGGTAAATGCATGCAACATCCTGCCACAGGAAACAATCAGAAGAACTGCATTTGTGCCCGGTGTAATGGTGCAGCAGTCGGCAACGCCAGGCGGGGAGCAGGACTCACAAGCTGTGCAATTACAGAAAGGCTTCTCATTAAAGAAAGTGTTCCTGGAAATAGCATTCAAGGAGAAAGGTACAGCTTGTATTTGTAAAATGATTGCTTACAATGATTTCATGTACAAACTCAAGTCAAAGAATAGAGTAGCATTGACAAACAGGTCAACAAGAAATCAGCAGGCAATACTGCAGCATGGGAAATATTAGATTTTTTTTCTTCCCTAACCACAGAGCCTATTAGGAGATTAACAACCTCCAGTTCTCAAACATATACCTGCTTTACTAAAATTTAACTAGCGAGCAACAATATTTTGACTGAGGGAGCTGGGATTGTTCAGTCTGGAGAAGAGGAGGCTCAGGGGAGACCTCATTGCACTCTATAACCTGAAGGGAGACTGCGATGACGAGGGGTTTGGCCTCTTCTCCCAGGCAACGAGCAGGACACGGGGTAATGGCCACAAGTTGTACCAGAGGAGATTTAGGTTAGACATGAGGAAGAACTTTTTCTCTCAGAGTGGTCAGGCACTGGAATGGCTGCCCAGGGAGGTGGTGGAGTCGCCATCCCTGGCAGTGTTCAAGAGGTGTCTGGCTGAGGAGCTACGAGATATGGTTTAGTTTGTGGTAGCAATGGTAATGGGAGGGTGGTTGGACTAGATGATCGTGCAGGTTGTTTCCAACCTTGTGATTCTATGATTCTATGAACAGGAGTGATGTGCAAGGTAGGCCTGGGGGCTGTGTCACTCTGATCCAGAACAAGAGAAGATCTGTCCCATTGGAGCTGTGTTTTACCCAAGCAAGGTTCAGTAACTTTATATGATCAAACAGATAGAGGAAAAAGTCTCACTGAGGGTGCTGAAGGGAAACTCAAGGCATGGTTTCTGCGTGTGTACTTCTGGATTTGGTGTTTATTTAGCTCAGTATGTGGAATGTAACTTCTGCACTAGAAGTTATTTTGGCAGTTTCTAGATCTCAGGAATTCAAGAAAACTGAGAAAGCAGGTTCAGTGTGCTCCAGTTTCATGGCCCAATCTGGTCTACACATACAGGTACAGAGTTGAAGGATTTCATGTAAGATACTGCTAGGAGCCCTGTGCTCCTCAGCTCTGCCTTGATCATAAGCTACAAAAATCAACAATACCTTCCCACGAGAGAAGAATTAATTAAATTAGGCTTAATTAATTAGTGTCAGTAAAGCAGACGTAAAAGTTATGGTGGAAGTAAATAAGTGCAAATTATTATTTTCTCTGCAGATTTATTTCCTGAAATCTCTGTGGACATTTTCAATGTTGCTGTTGGGAACGCTGCTAGGAAGCACTCAGGAATACACTGCAAACTGTCAGGGAACTAATGAACTTTAATATGTTTACATGTATCAAAGCAAACAGGAAGCAAAAGTAGTTGCTTAACCTGCTGTGGAATTATGGTGAAATGTACCCCGAAGACTTTACATACACACCATGCCACATCATGCGTCACAAAAAAGTTTGTGAGGTTTATTTAAAATGTTTTACACCTTATAACCCCACTGAGGATTTTGTATCACCTACGAAGGCCATTCTTCTATACAATACAGGAGGGGAGATTACAGAGGCTATGTTAGTCTGAGCTGTTTCACATGAAGATAATAAATAGTCAGCTATTTTACTCTGTGTATTTGCAGGAAATACAGAAAAATGGGAATGGAAGAATAAACACTGGCAATTGTAAAGTTATTTACTGTAAGGGTCTATGCAGTGTGCATTCTACAAAGGCTAAATGGGAGTCTGAAAAAAACAGATTTGAAGCTACACCAGACTGGAACTGCATGAAGCGTCAGAAAGCAGGCATATTAGCAATGAAATATACTGTCAGTCCAACCTAGAAATCTGGCCATTATAATGGATCTGCAGAGAAAAACTTCCACACCCTGTAGGTAGTGAGGACAACACAAACTTAATGTAACAGACACTGGAATAACACACCATATTTGGAAACAGGTAGACAGAGAAATTTCTGAGGTGCTTTTCTAAATGTCTTCAAAATGTCAAAGGCAAATTAAGCTGATGAGAGATCCTAGCTATAAAAGCAAGAGGGGCTGTTTACATACTAGGAGAAGCAGGCCAAATACTAAGAAAATAAGAGTATCCAGATGAAAGATCAAGTGCCATGCCATACTATGTTGAGAGCAATAACAGAGCTGACACATCCTACAGAGGTAGCCATAGAGGCATCACTTTCCAGTCCTCAGCTAATCCATGACATTTTTATCGTTTTCTCTCTCCTTTTGCTCAGAGAAAATGGGATCTGGGGTTTGCACAAATGTTTCAATACATGCAACTGATCACACACAAGCTTAAATTTAAGCAGGTGCTATATAGTGACTATAGGAAAACTTCTTGGGGTTCCCAGCCTAGCACATATTTGAACAGATCTTCCAAGAAAAAAGCATTTACTCAAGTTTGTCAGAGAAACAATCACCTATTATCTGCCTTGGACCCTTCCCCACACTTCCATCACCTGTTTCAGATAATTTCCAAAATATCTTTATTCTCTTCTGGCAGACAGTACATGAAAAGCTTAGAGCAAGCTGGCCACAATTTGGCCACAGAGGGAATACCAAAATGAGAACCAGTGGGGTGATATGGCTGCAGTCCCTACTACTGGATCCATAATCAGATGAACCACTTCCACCCTCTTGCCCTGTACGTACAATTGGCCTGGTTGCTCCAAGAAAAGGCAGCAGGACTGACTTACTGCACTGTATAAATGTGTTTATAGCTTGGCATGTGCACGTTTATGCTCACTTTTTTCCAGTGTAGATTTCAAATAAGCCATTTGCTCAAATAAGTCTATTAACTTTAAAGCACGTAAGGCTAAAACTGTATTACAGGAGGCAAGCTTTGGGGGATGCAGCTCAAAACAGCTAGGAAGGGTATCTGGAGTCCTCTACCACTGATTGACTTTTGAGCATCATTGGTGGGAAAGTAATTATGAATTCAGATGGGCTTCTGTCGCACAGCCTGGAGCGAGACCTTTTAGATGCTGAGCCCATGAAGAAACTGAGCACGAAGCGGCCATTAGTGTGTTCAGAAATTCAGGATCAGAAGGTTCTTCTAAAGGTAATGTTTGTCCAGGCTTTCAGGTACCACTGCAGGTAAGACCTTGGCTCATGAATGTGCCGATTCTGAATTAACACTGCTGTCTCTTTTCAGTTCCTGCATTCAAAAACCTGCTACCACATAGCACTAGCCTGTAGAACACAACATTGTTCTCCCTCTGGATTGTTTCCCTGTTGCCTACTGATTTTTTTTTCTTCTCTATTTGAGGGCAGCTGTAGTAAATAGTGCTTCTCTTCTGCTGCCTGTTCCTTCTGATATTTGATGGGCCCTTCAGCTTGTTCATTCCTCTAGTTTTCGTGTTTTTTTGTTTTTTTTTTGTAAATGCAGGTTTGTCTTCCAGATTATTTCATGATTTCCAGAACTGCTGGTTTTCCTTTGCTTTACTTTTTTTCCAAAGTGCTTCCAATTAAAAATCCAAGGGATATAGTATTACGGGAGGCATTGTTATTAAAAAAAAAATCGTTTTGGACTTAGTAGTAAATGGGAGACTTGCTCCTTGTTTCCCTGGTACAGATTTCAAGTGTTGATAAATGGGCATAAGACACTTGGAAATTAGTTTTTTATATAAAGAAAAAGTTAGGGGGGTTGGACTCGATGATCTCTGGAGGTCTCTTCCAACACCTACAATTCTGTGATTCTGAGATTCTGGTTTGACTGAGCTGCATGTTACTTTGGCTGCACAGACCCACCTAATTTCTTGGGCTTGTTAGAAGAGCTCTTGGTTTCAGCCAATATTAAACCAGAATACAACCCATTCCTTCCTCTTCTAGTAACTTTGAATCGTCACATTTCACCAAGTCTCTGCTGACGTACATGAGGATCAGCAGCCCTGAAAGCTGCTGGGGGACCATGTCTCTGCATGGCATTGGATGCTTTCATGCCTAACAGCAATTCTCAGCCCAGCAGGCACAGTTAATCAAGCAGAAAGTTTTAGCAGACCCCTAAGTGCAGCCTGTAATTACCTATACCTGTTTCAGATGAGCTCCCTCCAGCTAAGGAATGATACTGTGTTCTAGTTGCAAATAAAAGTTTGACCTTATCTGGAATAAAAAAAAGAACACCTTCATGAAACACCATTGAAGAAAAAAAAGAAAATGATTTGAAAAGAACAGAATTCAATTCATGTAAATAAAATTTTGGGTTAGTGCTGGAAGTAAAATAATATGTTAGCAATATGTACTAAACTGTGGCACAACCTCCTAAGGAAAGTGAGCGATGGAGTCCCAAGGTCTGAAGAATCACAGATGCTTCAGGCAGAGCTTCAGGAAAGACATGCCTGGGGAACAGCATGGGCTGACTGTAGAAGTGCAGGGACAGAACACGGCCACAAATTTTTGCTCAGACGTTTGCAATGATGCAAATACATAGTAAATGGAAATGTACATGGAACATATAGCTGTCCTGATTTAAAAGCTGTGCATATTTCCATTTAAACTAATGGGAATTTTACCGCTTAAAATAACATTAAGCCATCAGGAGACATCAGTGAATTTGGCTGACATTTTTCTGTCTGATCCCCAGAAAACAGTCCCTTAACAATTCTTCAGACTTGCAAGGACATGATTTTGACATTTCTGCAAGTTTGGACATGATTATTACTAGGTATCTCTTTTTCAAAATCCTGCTTTAAAAACAAACAAACAAACAAAAAAAGCAGTCTCCTCTTGTTTTACAGTTACTTCTAACATCTAGCTCTAATAGGTACAGACAGGAAATGAGACACAAAAGCAAAACATTTATCTCTTTAGCTCTGGATGAAAAGAAAAATACATGGACTTGCTATGGCATACAAACGATATGCATTTCTGGGCTTTCTTTTGAATATGGGCGAGTTTGCTCATAGTTTCTGGTGGGTAATGAGAAAGTATCTTCCAGTCTGCAGTTGTCTGGGGAATTCTTTTTTCCAGTAGAGATTTTGAGCACAATATTATCACAAGTAATAGACTGGTCTGGGAAAGCGTGGCAGCTCTGTGAATTGGGAACTGCTCCCTCTCCAGCCTGCCATCCATTACCAGGCAGTGTCTGCCCACTGCTTTTCGCACCAGAGTGCTGTTTGTGTGATGTCTGAAATAAAAATGTCTATGCGCCAAGGTCAGGATGTGATGCCCCATTCCCCATGGAGCCTGACTCATGTTGCTTTCTGACAGCCATCTGAAAGAGCTGAAGACATTATGAAAGGATACAGTTTTTAATTAAAAATTATAATGGTCCCTTGTCACACTGTGACATGAACTGGACTTGCAAACTTTAGCGGATCACCCAAGTTTGGGAAACGGTATTTTCACTGCAGTATTCCTTGGACCATAGAAAACACTGTACAGATGTTTGTTGAAATTCAAGGATTGTGATGAGTGAAAATTCACTGAATCGGTTTCATATGACATTCAGACACTCAACTCCACGTACAGTGAGGAGCAGTGGACAACTGAGGGCTGCATCCTGATGGAGCGAGTGCTGGAACAACAAGCACGATGCCATCTTCCCTGGAAAGCTTCTTCCCAAGCCTGGGGAGAACACCTGTTGTAGGGTAAGCAGGATTGCTTTGCAGACACCCATACAAAACTTCATTTCTCTTTTTAACACAGGATATAGAGGCTCCTGTATTTTGTCCAGCCACTTTGACCACAGCACTCACAGTCAAGCAGCTCTTCCTTCGGGACATCAGCCATTAGGCTTTGCTGACAGACTCATTTCTCAATTTGTGTCTTACCACCACACTAGATATCCTGATGGACTCAAAAAGAGACATGGAGTAAGAATCATCCAAGACTACTGACTTTCTTCTTCTGTTCATGTGGGCTTTTCCATTCGCTGTGAATGTTTGATTTCACCATGCTGGCCCTCTTTGTACCATAAACCTCTTCCATTTCTTTCCTGTAGTGTTTCACAGTACACATTGGAAAGGCTTAGATTGCTGCACAAGCTGGGAGCTCTGATGCCAGTGGGGGAGCAGAAGAAAACTACTCTCTTGGTCCCACATCCTTTTGAAGTTACTAGCTGATATTTGCTGGTTATGTTTAATAGAGCTTTGGAATCAAAGTGGATTTTCATTTTATGTTTGTTTGCTTGAACATCAGAAAACCTGAAAGCAGGATGAGATTTCTTTCAGTTTACCAAAAAAAAAAAAAAAATTGGTGAAAAATTTTAACACATTACCTCTTACTCCAAAGAAAGGGAAGAAATTAGTGAGCTCAATTAACTAGAAAGGATACGCAGATCCTGGAGATATGGCAGCCTTGAGTAATCAAAAGGAAAATCTGTCTTGCTCTGCTGAATTGCTTTCTGAAACACAAAAGCCAAAATGCTGTGATCTTCATGAAGTTTGGGCCTTCTGATAAAACATGGATACTCTTTGCATTCCTTCATTTGCAGAGAATCAAAACAGTGCTGCAGCAAAACATGGAATCAAGAGATAGGGCATCCCTGCTATGCAAACTATGCTCAGCAGATGTCTGGTCCAACAAAAGTATGCAAATGTTTCTTGGACACAATGTGAATAGTTGTGACGGAAGCTAAATCTTTCATTTGCTCTTTATATTTTCTGCCTTTTCTTTAATTTTGTTTTCTTCTCTTCTTCCTTTGCAACTGCTAAGGAAGCATCTGTGAATTTTATTAAACAAATGTTACACATTAAAAAACCGTTGCTGTCAGCCAGAAAGGAAAATGGCAACTTATTTGAAAACAATATGTAATTGTTTTTGCTGCCTGTTGCAAGTTACACCCTTGAAAAATGATGAGGACTTATTTAGTAGCAACTGATGCTGAGGAAAAGCACTGTAAGTAAAGCAGAAAATTAACTGTTGCATTATCTTTGGGAAATAGAATACCTAGTTTCAAACAACACAATACAAATGCGCAGTATATTTTTATCTTAGATGTGTTTACAGTCACTTCAGAGCAAAAGAACAAGAGAAGTTTTCCACAACACTTTCATCTGCACATCTCAGTGTTACAGCCAGTGAGTGTTCACTGTGGCCAAATGTGCTGAAGTTCTAAAGAGCTGTGTGACAGTCCCTGGCCATCACTCTCGCTTCATCTCACACACAGCCCTTGGGACAGTGATGGGGACTCAAGTCTTGATTTACCGTTGCCTCTATCTGCACTACCTGATTTCACCAGCAGGCCTCATGCAAACATTACACCACCATCCCAGAATATGCCCAGAGGTGCAACACTGATATACCATGTCTATATGCATAACTTTAGGTTGGTACCCTCAACATGTATATTGCTGATATACAGCAACTTCTGTTTTTGTATTGTTCTTTTTTGTTTCCATCTAAACGTATTTTTGTTTTCCTTTTTATTTTACTTCTCTCTTAGTTTGTTGTTGTTCTATTTACTTTGTTTTGTGTTTTGCTTTGTTTTTTATGCTATGCATAATTCAGATTAGTACTGACAGATTGTCACAAAGCAAATCAAGAGACAAAAAAGCATCATCAATGGCAGAAAACACATGCAAACTGGCTGCAAATGGTCCAAGCCCTTCTCAGCAGGACTTTAGCCACATTAGTTCAAAGTTACCTGCTGTTTATTCAATAAATATTTCACACCGTGGGAGCTAATTTTCCCCTCCCAATTCAGGGAAAACGTATAAAAATATTTGTATGATAAATTATGGAATGATTTTATAAAAACAGGATGATATAGTATATAAAGAATTGTGGGGACTAGTGTAAAGCTTTTATCCATCCTATTCATTCAAGCGGGTGATGAACATAATTCAGAAGAACATAATCCCAGCAGAAGTTAGTTTTTAATTACAAAAACAGCAACACATCCAGTATTCACAGGATAACAGAGCTCTGAAAGAAGCTGTGTTTTAGCCATACTTCCGCACCTCTTACTTATCATCCATTACTACAAGTACCCTTTTAAAAAGTCTAGTGAACTTTCTCATATTTTTTTAAGTTACAATTTAATTTGTAATTTTAACCTCTTTAGATTCTAATTTATTATTTAAAAAAAAAAAAAAATCTGATCTTGGAATGATGTAATTTTTCTCATGAGTTGATTAAATCTTTGAAATTTCAAAATGTGGTTAAGTGAAATGCTCCTATTTCCTTCTTACCTCCAGCTCCGACAAACCGATTCCCATGGTGATTATGTTTCATTATCTGCCTTGCGAAAGTCTCAAATCAGTTCTTTCTCAGGGCAAAAACTCTCTAATGAGTCCCAAAAATCTCTGCATACAGAAGATACAAACAGTGTTCTGCAGGCTGAAGTCTCACAGAAATCTTTTCTCAGGAAGGTGCTGGGCATGATCCGCGCAGAATTGAGGCGCATCACCTAAGCAGAAAAAGTCACCTTTACTTTTACTATTGCATCCTTGAAGCAGAGAAATCTCTCTGATATTGGACTCCAAGGCTATACTGCAGAGGTTGTAATGTGCTGCTCATTGAGACTTCAATGCTTCACTATTTGGCCAAGACAAATTTAAAGAGCCTGAAAGCCAAGATCCTAGGCTTTCCTTGGCAAGAAAAGAAGCTAATGCATCCATCATGTATAAAAATTGGCTATGAAGAATTTGCCAGTGCCCTCCCACTGGTAAGAAGTTTCAATATCTGCATACAGCAGTTGATGTCATTACACCATTTAGAAGGAAACTGAAACTGGTGCAGAGCTTTTCCTAATTAAGACTGATCTACCATTACTAGAGCATAAAGATGGCTGAAACCTGTGGCCGAAGGATTACTACTCGTTTGCAGCCGGGGAAGCAGACCCCTTCCTGGGCACCCGGCATGCCACATCTCACAGGTTGCCTACATGTATGCAGGCAGCAGAGCAATTGCTGGGAAAAGCTCTGTCTCCCATCTTCCCCAAGAAATTGGTGAAACAGAGATTTTATCCCCAGTGCGCAAAGTACTTTGCAGAGGTCCAATAGAGACACCTCATCACCTCTGCCATAACACCTCATAGACCCTCGTTAGCTCTTCCCTTTTTACAGTTTTGCAGGTAAAATGGTTCACCCTGTGTAAATAACCCAAAAGTTACCAGCAAGGAAATATCAAAGTGTACAAGAAAACAGTCGAATATTAAAACAGATGCGCGTGTTCACCTTGGGGATAAGCGAGCTTCGATACAGGGCTCAACTCTGCTCCAGTTTTGCTTAATGGCGAGGCAAAGCGGTCCCAGCTCAGCAGCAGATTTCTGAGTTCACGCCAGGCTTGAGGAGAAGAGTGCTTGTCCAAGGATTATCATCAGGCCCCTCACAATCAGGTTCTCACTTGCTCCAGGTGGGCTCGATCTCATCAGCAATTCCCTGGACTTCAATTTGGAAGAAACATTTTTGTGTTTGACCTTGTATCTCTAATGTAATGTGTACGCCTACCTCACCCACACTCTTAATATCGAATCTGTTTCCTTTTATTTGAATCACATACGACGCAAGCTGGAGTAGCTATGCCTGCCTTTTTCTTTCTCTTACCTTGTTTTTGACCTACAACATTATCAAGAAGTCCCCAGTTTTTATTTCTGCATTCACTTCACTGCTTTTATGAAACTGCCTCAGCAAATACGGGTGACTGATAAGGGCTGAACTTTCTTTCACCCTCAGCTGCTCCAATCTGAATTTTTAAAATCCCCATGGGCAGAACAAATACAGAAGGCATTACTGACAATTTTCAAATCAGTCACAGATTTTTCATGTGTAAAAACTGAGAAAGCCAGAAATTTATCCGAACCTGATCCAACTGCTCTGAAAACTTCTGAAGGCTTCATGTATGCAGAGACTTCTTGCCTTTCCTGTGAAGGAGGGGAGTACTCTGGTTGGTGGCCATAGCACCGCTCACAAGAACCTAAAATGTTCTCCCTATCCACTAGCAGAAGCCATCTCAGAGCTAAATGAATTGATACTCAATTACTATGTGTCTACTCATAGTAACAGATGAAATGTGAGGCTACAAAAAGATGGTTTGTGGTAGCCAGCTGAAGCAGAGGGTGTCCCTCAATATCTTATTTTGAAAACCTCTATATTTCTAATGAGTGGTTAAATATTTGATGACCCGATTTTGAGAACAGTCTTCAAGGTCAAGTAAGGATTAAAAGTGAGACGAAGATATGACACAAAAAAGCAGCTGGATAGTGAGTTCCTGAGGAAGACGTTAGAACTGACAGACATTCAAGTCTGAAAGACTGTCTAAGAAAGGCAGCAAAGAGCCAGGAGTAAAGGGCCACCTTGACAAGAAAAGACTTGGCACATATTTGATCTGCTGTGGTTGTACTGTTGTACTCACATCTGAGTAAAAGCAAAAAGAAAAAATAGCCAAGTAATTTCAGTGTAAACATGTTAAATAACTGGCATCTTTCCTGAAAACTTGTAAAATGAGTTGTAGTTCCACAGGTTGGCTGGGTTACAGTATCCTGTAAAGTTAGACATCTCTAAAGGGAGCGTTGACAAGCTCCTCACCGTAGCAACAAAGTGGTACCCACTCAGAGAATGAAGCAAAGCTCTTGGGAAGTAATTAAAGAACATTTTGGTCAGCTTGTGATGCAAATATGATTTTTTCAGATTATGTAGAAACAAAGTGGAAACCCACAGAACATCAACAAGAAGGTTTAAAGTAACAAGGCTGAGTGATGTTTGTCCAAATGAGCCTAAAAAGAAAAGATGGGAGGAGATAGGAGGATTTCAGATAAATGGTTCAGGAAATATCTCCCTCTCCCCTTTGTTTTCAATTTTTGTATTTTTACAATCTGCTGATGGAGACAAAACTAACCCACCTTTTCATGAACCTTAACTCATGCTCTTTCATCTAGAAAAAATACACTAATTATTTCTTTGGATTCACATTTTTCTGGTGCAGAACTTTGTTAAAGAATAGTATTTGCATATTGAAATGCCCTATTTTTGCTAGTCTTCAGTTACATTCTGTCAAGCCAAGCCTTTTTACATTATTTTTAACTGATATTACACATAGTTCATTATATAGATCATCTCTAGTTCCAATTACTATGAATTAAATCTAAGCAATTTCTGTGAGATCAGCAGAGACTGTCTAGTTTTCAACTGGTTTATCTAGAGCAAAAATACTGTTTATATGTAATCTAGCTGCCCAAGTTCACTAATGACTCTATGGAACTTAGAAAAGCATTCCCTCCAGCTAGACAAAATGCATCCTATTTTCTACTCAAAATCAAGAGTTGAAAAATGAAGAGGCATATGGGGGGAAGGACCAAGTCTCTCTTACCTATGTCTTTGTAGGGCTTCAGTCACTCCCCTCCCAAGTATTACACATTCAGACATAATTCACTAAATGGAAAGTTTGGAGAATTTCTGAAGAAAATATATCAAAACAATTAACCTCTGTTTTGTTATGGTTTCCTCGAATTCAAAGGCAGAAGGCTGAAAAATTAAAAGGTGTAAAGTAGATGCAGCCACAAGGTGCGAAGTAAGTCATTTTAAATCACTTCTATCACTTTTTGTATGTCCTGATGTTTAAAACAGCACTGGTTAATGATAGCGTTGATTAACAACACAGCACATTTTCTAATGTATGCTAGAATCTCTAATTAGTTCTTAACCGACTTGACTGCTGTATTCAATGTTTAATAAACTCTGCGAGTAAGTGGAGAAATCACAAAATCCAAATGTTGGCTGCATGAATACTCTTGCACTAGCTTCTGTTTCCAGTTGTTTGATTGAGTTTTCTATTTCGTGAACTACTGTGAGAGAAAATCATGTGATAAAGGTGTAATCCAGCAATATGTCAGCAAATAGCTGCTCCTCTGACTGCTAGTACTTCAAGGAGCAGGCATCTGAATGAAATCAGATCCCTACGGAGTCTGTGGCAACAGACATACAGAAAGAGACATGAAACCTTGTTGTATGCCATGAGCAAGATAAAGGAAATTTTTTTACCTAGGCAGGGCTCGTGTTTAATATTCTGCTCTTGTACTTAGCCAATTGAAGCCCCAGTGAGCTTTTGTTTATGATCTGATTCTTGTTACTCACACGCAACTAACTGCTCAAGTTGTCTGGTCACTTCTGGTACAAAATGGAGGGGAGATGAAATATGAGAGATTAGAGCTTTGTTTTCAACATGGAAAAAACAAACAAACAAGCAGAAACATCAGAACTAATATATATATATCACAGTATATATTTTTATAACTATGGAATTAATATCTATATCCATACGTATCTATGATTAATTAATTTATTTGAGAAAAACCTGAAATGATAAATTCCTTGTGTGATAGGATAGGGTTGTATAAATACAGCTGCTTAAAAGCCTCCAAGATTATTTAGGTTTTACCTAACTTCTTTGTGTTTCATTAAGTTAATTGGAAGTACAGCTGAATGACCCAGTATTTAGCTTCGCAACTCATGGCAGTAGTCATAGTCTAATTAAATACTTCATAATCAATTCATTTAATCACAACATACAAACAACAACAACAACAACAACAAAAAAAAAAAAAAACAAAAACAAAAAAAAAAAACCCCAACCTTTCAATATCCTTACAAGATTAGAAGAAAAGAAGGTTCTGCTAAGGCATATGGCAAGCAATCTCTTCTTGCAAAACAGCAAACTAAACCACAGCTCTAATACCATGTGTTAAGAGATAGTGTCTTTTTTACACACTGCATTTAAAAAGTCTCTCCAGAAGCAACCGGAATACAATCTGAACTGTAGCAACAGGTTGAAACACATAATTTGACTACAAGGAATTGAAATGAAAAGGCAGAAAAGGAGACGAAATTCCATGAATTAAAATTTTGATTTCCCAAACAATTTCCTTAATTGCTAACACTTAGGTTAGAAATTTGTGGAATGCAACTAATAAAAAAGTAAATGAGAATGCCTGCTGCACTGAGATATGTCTCCATCAGCACACAAGTAAATAGACATAGGCATCAAAACTGCTGAAATAAGCACCCATTCTAGCTGAAGTGAGGAATGAAGCCATAGATTTAGTTGCTGTAAAGATCGTAAACTTGTTTGTTTTTTCTCATTTCTTGACTCCATTATGTAATCATTCTGTTGAGATATTTGTATATGGTATGCAAACAGTAGAAAGTTTTTTTGCACCCATCACAAAAAAAAAAATAAATAAATAAATCTATAACAGCTACTACAGTTTGCTACTTTCATGTGCTTAGAAGCCATCATCCAGCAAGTGAACAAAGATTGTATTTCCAAATGTTTTCATCCTGACCAAATTCTCTGCTCATAGTGTTTGTGATAATCCTAGTTTCATGCACGCAGGCTGAAGGAGGTGTGAAGGAGAATCCACTGGCAAAAGCATGGCAGCACATCAGTACAGTAATTTATTTGTTCATATTTTGCTGTTGCATATCTGAAAAGGTCATACTCAAATAAAGCTGCCAAGATATGATATTCCTCTGAGAGGAATAAAATGGTTTATGTATCTCAGCTTTGCCAAAAAGCTATGGAAACAAGAGCTTCATTTTGTGAATAAAGATGTAGGCACAAATACTGGATCAAGCAGGGTGAAGACCACCCTTGGGCAGAGTGTTTAGGAGGAAAGTGGTGAAAGGTTGGGGGTTTGCTTTGTTTTGTGGAACATTTGGGTGTGTATAACAGGCCTGTCTAAACAGAATTGGTGTGTCTGATGGCTGATCCAATATTCTGAGGAGGTCCTCTATTCAGAACTTGTTTTCTTTCCGCACTTACCCTATTTTGTGTATTGTACTAGATTATACTGGTTTCATAAGTGGCAGTCACAGTAACTGTCCATCTGGATATGTTTTGAGGCTCTATAAAGTTTTAACAACTGTAAAGGGGAAAAAATAATGAAGTATGCAGCCAGTCTGAAGTTGTTATCTAGAGATTTAACCTACTGTCGCCAGGAATGCACAAAGGACAATTCATGTTCCATGTAAAATGCATTCAGATCCGTAGTCTTAATGCAGCAAGAAGTTTTCTCTTGTGATGGAAGAGATTGTATTCTTATATTTATAACCCCTTAATGCATGAAAATAGTTAGAATAATAATATTAAAATGATAGTAACACATTTCAACATCTAATCTTGATTCAGGGCATGTGTAACTGAACCACATACTTGATTAACTCTTGCACTTGTCCTATTGTCTGCTTTTTAATAAGCAAGATTTATATTCCTCAGTGTCCTTTAATAAGATTTTGGCCTGTGAGAATTTATTCATATGCTATTCATTATGAAATGCCAATCATAATCTTTGTACACACTTGTTTCCTCACACGTAAAAAGTTCTCTATTTCGGATTTTCAGCATTTAATAATTCTTTTATTTAAGAAGAATCTACAGTTTATCTATGAG